AAAAATCAATGGGGCTCATTTCTCCCTGGATGCGTCATGCTGGGCCATTCAGCTGGCTGACATCGCAGGAGGCCAGGCGCACGCAGCCTGGGGCTGTATCCCAAAAGGATCTCTGGCGCAGTCCTCCAGGCACTGTGGAAATGCTGCAGCAGTGGGGAAAGCCAGCAGCTGCATGCTCTCCCCTCACCAACTAGTGGCGCTGTGACTACCCTGTCTGGAACTGAGGGATCTGTGGTCGCGGTAACTGTTCAGGTCTGAGCCAAAGCTCATTGAAGTCAATGGGGGTATGTTTACACTTGACACTAAGCCTGAGCTCTGACTCAGGTTTGAGCCCAAGCCCCCTTCTGTCTACACACAAATCAGCCGGACTAGGATCAGGAAGCACTCAGGACCCACATCCCTGCTAGCGGGGTGGGTCAGAGCCCGAGTCCTGCTGTGACTTGGCTCCAAGCCCCATGGGGTTGGCAGCGTGGAAGCAGCTCAAACCACAGAGCCAAGCCAGAAGGTCTGGGCAGTGCAGTATGGATGTGTTAGCACGGCTGTGAGAGCCAGGTTCAGATTCACAATGCAGCGTGGAGACTCAAGCGTGGGAACACTTAGCCCACAAGCCTGGGTCCTACAGAGCCAGGTTTGTAATGCAGTGTAAACATATCCCTGGGAGCCCCTAATGCAGAACTGCACTGTCCTGCTGGAAGCCCCCATGAGTCACAAATGAAAGGGCTACTGCGAGAGGAAAGAATGGCCCAGTAGTCAGGGTTCTCTGCCCTAAGCTTCCTATGTGATTCTGTGCCTCAGTTCCTGATCTCTACAATGGGTCAATAACACCACCCTGCCTCACGGGGGTGTGATGGGGATAAATACATTAGAGATGGTGCGGCACTTAGATACTGCACGATTGGGAGCCGGGTACCATAAGTAGATACTGTGGTGCGTTCTAAGGGGAGGCCAGCATAACCAGCACATCCCAGAATGGCACATGGTGCCGCAGAAGCACTTCGCTCCGCCTGGATTTCATAGCTTGGTCAGTGGCATTTGGCTGAATGTTGGTAGTAGCGCAACTGAGCTCCAGCCCAAGCCAAATCCCTTGCTGGCTGTTCAGTCCTCTTCCTCGTCACTGGGCAGAGGTCGTGTGAGTTGGGGGTCTGTGCCAGGACCTGTTTAATGTATGCACTGCAGAATCCGCTTCCCCTTTCATGGAGGCAAAACCCCGGCTTGGCTATGAGCCAGGGCCGGATTAACCTTTTGTGGGCCTGGCCGCAAACATATTTGTGGGCTCCCATGGGGGCAATGGAGCCTGGCATGGGGAGGTCAGTCCCTGGAGTGAGAGGCCGGCCAGGGGCATGGTATGGCAGGGATGGTCCCGCTCCGCTGCTGCGCCACACAGTCCCCCTGCCCAACACCCCCCTGACTCCCTATTGCCAGAGCCCTGCTGGACCCACGATGCCCACTGCCCCCCATGACCCGCCCCCACAAATGCACAGTGCCCTGCACAACACCACTCCTGCCCAGTGCCCCCTGCCCACAGCCCCACCACAACTGCCCAGCACCCCCACCAGAGACCCACGCCCTGCCTCCTAGCCACACTCACCAGCCCTGCTGGGAGGCAACTGTGTCTGCCAGGCTGACCCGGGCCTGGGAATCACTCCAGCCCTCGCGAGTGGTGCAATCAGCCAGGCCATGGCCTGCCCTGGCTGGGCTCCCTCAGGAGCCACTTGCCTGGAGGGGGCCCATCCAAGCCCCCCACATGGTCCCCCCCAACCTGGCCGAGATTGGCCAGGCTTCTGCACCAGTTAGGGTGACCAGATGTCCCGATTTTATAGGGACAGTCCCGATTTTGGGGTCTTTTTCTTATACAGGCTCCTATTACCCCCCACTCCCTGTCCCGATTTTTCACACTTGCTGTTACCTTAGCACCAGTCCCAGGTGGCTCTGGGGAGACAGGCGGGGCCCCACAGGTGGTGGGAAGCAGAGACTGCCCAGAGCCAGAGGTGCACTGTGGTCCAGCCAGGGGGGCAGAGAGGAGCTGGCAAGTGCAGCCAGGGGGCGGAGAGGAGCCCTCGGTCGACGGGCAGGCCAAGAGGAGCAAGTGGTGATCGGGGCCGGCTCCATGGCGCCATGGTAAACCTGGTACTGCTCTGAGCCCAGGTGGCACTGACTCCATCACAAACACTCGCCTGGGCCTGCCCGGTGGGTAGTCCACCCAGAGTCAGTCACGCAGGCCAGGGGAGTGCTGCAAAGCCTGTGGTCTTAGACCAGGCAGTGGGGATGGATTCCAACTGCTCTGCAATAAGCCCTGTGGATGTTTAGCTCATGGTGTTGCCCGGGCTAGACGCAGTGAGGGGGGGATAGGGGAAAAAGGAGGGTTCTGTCTTAGGGGACTGGAAAGGTAGGAGAGAGAGAGATGGCTACAGCCAGCGTATGTAAACACCAGCTTTCTACCAGCTGTACCAATGGACAAGCACAAAGGGGATTTAAACTGGAATAACGTACAGCAGCTTGGTCCCATCAGCCTCCCCTTATGACACACCCTCCCTTTGTCTCACAGGTCGGCCTGCTACAGGACAATTGCTGCTTCCCCTGGTGTTTTATTACAATGTTTACAAAAGTCAGAAAAGAGGCAAATTGAAAAGTATCTCCAACTGAATGCATAGATTTGTATATCATAAGGCCAGAAGGGACTATTCGATCGTCTAGTCCAGTGGTTCTTAAACTTCATGGCACCGTGACCCTCTTCTGACAACAAAAATTACTACACGACCCCAGGATGGGGGACTGAAGCCTGAGCCCACCAAAGCCCCACCACCCCGGGCGGGGAGTGGGCCAAAGCCAAAGCCCAAGGGCTTCTGCTCTGGGTGGGGGCACGTAACCTTAGCCGTGGGTGGTGGGGCTTGGGCTTCGGCCCTGGACCCCAACAAAGTCTAACACCAGCCTTGGCGATCCCATTAAAATGGGGTCCTGACCCACAGTTTGAGAGCCCCTGATCTAAGTCTGACCTCCTGCACAGATCAGGGCAGAGAACTTCATCCAGCTGCTGCTGTATTGAACCTAGTCACTTGTGGCTGACGAAAGCCTCTCTCTCCGAAAGACATCCAGGCTGGATCTGATGATTCCAAGAGATGGAGAATCCATCCTTTCCCTTCAGAGTTTGTTCCTTATGTCTAACTAGAACTTGTTTTTGGCTTCCAGCCATTGGTCCTTGCAGGGCCGGTGCAAGGAAATTTCGCGCCCTAGGCGAAACTTCCATCTTGCGCCCCCCCCCCCCGCCCTGCGGCAGCCCCCCCCCCCCGCGCCCTGAGGCACCTCCCTAGTGGCAGCTCCCCACCCCCCCGACCCGGGGAGCCGTGCGGCAGCTCCCCACCCCGGCTCATCTCTGCTACGCCCCTTCCCCAAGCGCGTGGTCGCCGCTCCACTTCTCCTGCCTCCCAGGCTTGCGGCGCCAATCAGCTGTTTGGCGCTGCAAGCCTGGGAGGGGAGGAGAATTAGAGCGGGGGCAACGTGCTCGGGGAGGAGTCAGAGCAGAGGTGAGCTGGGGTGGGGAGCTGCTGCACGGCTCCCCGAGCCAGGGGGGTGGGGAACTGCTGTGGGGGGGAAATTGGGGGCACCGCTTTTTGGCGCCCCCAAATCTTGGTGCCCTAGGCAGCCGCCTAGTTCACCTTAATGGTAGCACCGGCCCTGGGTCCTTGTGATGCTTTTCTCTGCTTTCTCAAATCTCTCAATCACCTGAGTTGACTACTAGATTCTCAGTCTCCTGAGGTGGGGGGGGGGGTGGTTGTTGTTTTCAGGATTACATCAGAAGTTTAGTTTGGGGCAAACAGTAAAGAAAAAGCATGCATTGAATTAAATGTCAGTACAGCACCTAGGGTGGTGGTGGTGATGGTCTCAGTCCAGTTCCTAGTTGACAGAGGTCCTTGTCAGAAAAAACACCCCGACAATGGGCAGTAATTGGCCCCCTAGCTAGCAGTCGCAGGAGAGAGGCCAAGGACTGACTAGGCCATTGAGACAGGACTCAGGGCTGGAGAATGCTGGTGGGCACATGAGGAAAAACTTGCATTGATGCTGCCCAAGCTATAGCTGCTTTGGAGATACCCAGAGGCCTTCATTCTCCAGGGCCAGCAATCTGGTACCTTTCACCCACACTAAAATAAATGAGGGCACAAATAAAACGACTGTTTATTATGTCACATGGAAATAGCCAATTGCGGCAAAGAGCGAATGACTGACAACTACATGGTAACGCCCACTGAGCTAACCATATTTACACTCTCAATTAATCAGTAGGTAAAATTAAAGTAGTGGGAAAATGCAATTATACTTCTGACATCGTCAATATCCTACAGTGTAACATTGGTATCCTGCATGCTACTGGGATGTGCCCATTGGAAAGACTTATAGACAGAACTCCGTAAAGAAGACGACATACATTAGTTGGAAGTGAGCTGTGATTCTTACACATCTTATTGGTGAGAGATTCGTACCTGCCTTTAAAGTGGCTATTTTGAGTAGATAGATGAGGGTTTTGTTTCTTCAGAAATCTCACCCAGTTGTGGGAGATGCATCCCTCAGAGGATACTGTTCCTGGGAGTTGGGTACAAGTTTGCTTTCCCAAACTTCAGCCAGCGGGTTTTGTTTGTTCATATGGAACTTACTCGTTCAGTGCATGATGTACATGCACGATGTCATGTAACCTGAGGTCTGTTGCTGGTTTGTAATAACACAGAGTAATGCCAACAGACAGTCCACCCCGCATGCTTTCCCAGAGGATGTTCAACTTTCAAATAAGCCTTTTGGTTCCCCTCTAGTACTAAGAATCAGTCTCCGAATTAGAGCCACCTCAGTGCTTGGGAACAATGCATTTACATAGGCTCCAAATGGCTTAAGAACCTCATTGGGAGTTCCTTGCATTCACAGAAAATCTAAGGTTCAATAAGGGAAGATACAGTGGAATTAGGAATAAATACATCCAGCTTTCATGAATGTGGCTGGTTAATCCCACTGTCCAATTACCGCCTAATCTGTGCATATTCTGGATTGCTGAAATCCTGCACTATGTTCTCTTCAGAGTCTTCTTCACTGTCTTCTTGCCTCTGTAGAGTGCTCCGAACGCTCTAGAAATGAAGATGTAGAAAGCCATTATGCAGCCTACCATTTTGATCTCTGATCTCCTCTATTCTGCTATAGGTTTCCTTTAGTGAGGTTACTCCAGAATTGCACCAGTGAGCCTGAAATCCGACTTTCAGGCTACCAGTAAGAGGGGACCTAAGCGAAAACCCCAGATCTAAAACACCCCTCAGACTTTGGGGAAACTTAGATCTGAATGTGAACTTTGATACTTGGGCCTACAGTGCTGTATTTACTTAGTTACATGATCCAGCCGCTATCTGACTCTATGCTGCACAGACTTCTAGCCAGGGTGTAGGCCCTGGTAAACAAAAGCAATCCATGCTGGAACTTGAGCTGTGTAGGAATCTGTTTTTGTCTTAATAAATGTTTCCCATTCAAGAAAAACTGTGATTCCAAATATCATGAGCAGGCCGATCTCTGATCATAGCTAGAGCTGTGTCAAATGGGCTGGGTTGAACTTGGACAAGTTTGGGGTTTAGCTAGATAAAAGAACCCCAAATGTCTCCACAGCTCAGTGACTCCTGTGAAGTTCTTAGTTGCTCATGGTTTTGCTACAAAATAATATTTTCTCAGCATGTATATGTTAAGTATTTGTTTACATTTCCTGGACCTTTTTCACTGTGTGACACTTCCTTGATCGTCATATGCCAAGATGCTTGTCTTGGTGCTTTTTAATAGCAGATGGTTTATATTTTGGTAAACAAGGCAGGAGCTGTTTAATGTCCTTCCTCCTTATTTGTAACTTTCAAAATCGGTTCTAAAAGGAGCCTAATTTATGCCAGTTCCCCAAATACTGTTCAGCTGGGCTCCTTGGGCCAAATACTCCATAACTGGGTACACTGTTGTTATTAACCACGTTTACTGCCGTAGTGCCCAAGGACCAACCAAGAACAGGCCCCATTGTGCTAGGTGCTGCCCAAACACAGAACAGGAGAAGTTCCCTGCCAGAAGAGCTGACAAACTAGAGAGACAAGACAGACAGAGGTTGTGGGAAGGGGTAGAACACACAAGTACAGTGAGCAATGTAATGACAAATGTCACGATTATTTTTTGCGGGAGGGGAGGAGTAGCAGAGAAGGGCTACTAGGATGATCAGAGGAATGGGGAACCTGCCTTATGAGAGGAGACTTAAGAAGCTTGGCTTGTTTAGCCTAACAAAAGAAAAGCTGAGGGGAGATCTGACTGCTGTCTACAAATACATCCAAGGGATAAACACCAGGGAGGGAGAGGAGTTGTTTAAGTTAAGGGCCAATGTTGGCACAAGAACAAATGGATATAAACGGGCCATCAATAAATGTAGGCTTGAAATTAGACAAAGGTTTCTAAGCATCAGAGGAGTGAAGTTGTGGAACAACCTTCCAAAGAGGTAGTGGGGGCAAAAAAACTAACCTGTTTTAAGACTGACCTTGGTAAGTTTATGTTGCAATTGCCTACAATGGCACGTGGCCCATCCGTGACTGCTATCATCAGATATTTCCAACAGCTGGAGATGGGACACTAGATGGGGAGGGCTCTGAGTTACTACAGAGAATTCTTTCGTAGGTGTCTGGCTGGTGGGTCTTGCTCACATGTTCAAGGTCTAACAGATTGCCATAATTGGGAAGGAATCTCCCCCTAGGTCACATTGGCAGACATCCTAGGTTTTTTGCCTTCCTTTGAAGCTTGGGGCAGGGGTCACTTGCAGGTTTAAACTAGAGGAAATGGTGAATTCTGTGTAACTTGATGTCTTTAAACCAAGATTTGAGGACTTTCAGTAACTCAGCCAGAGATTAGGGGCTACCATAGAAGTGGGGGGGGGGGGTGTTAGGTTCTGTGGCCTGCGATGCGCAGGAGGCCAGACTAGATGGTCATGATGGTTCCTTCTGGTGCTAGAGTCTGAGCTAGGAGGGGCTCAGCTAAACGGAAAGAAAAGGGAACGAGTAGGGGGACAGGAAAGGAGGGAAGAGACTGCGAGGGAGGGAGACAGCTAGAGAAAACAGCCAATCAGCAATGACTCCAGTGTTAGTCTGGGAGTAAGTGGGTGGCACTTTGGCCCCCTTCAGTCTCCATGAGCTCAGTTTTGGAAGTGGTGACAGCCGCTCTCCTCTTCAGGAGTCACTTCTCCCCCCCACTCCCCGAGTGGTTTGAATTTACTTTCTTTGAGCACTGGGATGGGGGGGCGGCCTCGGGCTCTAATCCAAGGCCAAAGTCCTAATAGGACACAACCGTGTTGCTGCGTCTCTCTCACCTGGCTGTTGGCGGACCATGGCAGGGTGGAGGAAGGGTGTGTGGCGCTCATTGGCCTGGCATCGTAATTTCCAGAAGCAATGTGGATCTTAGCTCTGAAATCCTAGCAAGGCGACACACCAATGGTGAGGGTCAATGCCAGCTGTAGACGAAGACCTGGCATGCGCGCGGGTGTCTCCCGTGTAATAGTGCAGTGAATAAACGCAAGCTAGCCAAGGGAGCTGTGTGAGCTCGGTTTCTGGGACTTCCCTAGCTGCTGTAGGTATAACTAGCACACAGGGCTAAATCGGTAGCAGATGCAAAACAGCTGGGAGAGAGAGTTGGCAAACTCAGCTTGATTTAATCAAACCAAAGGCATTGGCTTGCATCGGGGGTGGGCACTTGCCACTAGCCCTTAAGAAGCTGTGTGCTCTTCCCTCCATTGCTGGCTGGGGTCGGACCATGACCCTGGCTCCTTCATAGTGGCTAGCAACCCGGGGGTTGCTAGCAGTGAGCAGTCCTTGCTGCATCTGTGCATGGTGCCCGCACGAAGGGGAAGGTGCCCTGCGTGCCTGCTTACAGGCTGGACACAATCAGCCACTAAGCATCCCCTGGGTTAGGCCAGAAGTGTGCAAGTGCTTGAACAATACACATGCAGAGCTGGCATTGTACTGGGTTAATGTGGGGTGTATCTTCTTGTAGAGGGATGGACTTGATGAGGCTTTTTTATCTGAGATGATCCCGTGTGATGGAAAATTACAGGTGCCTCAGACATACAAATTGCTCATTAAAATCTTATCTCCTTGTGAATAAAACATGCCCATGAGTGATGTGCTGTACTCAGGCTGGGCGGGTGGGGGGAGGTTACATCTGATCTAGTGAGTGTTGATCCAGTGGCCAAAGCTGGGGCTGGGACTCAGGACTCCTGGGTTCTCTTCCACAGACTTATCATCCAAGGTCACAAGTCATGTCACTGCCGTGTGCCTCGGTTTCCCCATCTGTATATTGGGGATGATGATACCTACTTCTAAGAGGTGTTAGGGATTCCTTTACTGTTGGCAACATGTTTTAAGCTCTGCCGATCGACATGGCTGTACAAGTGTTCTAATAGAATGGTGCGTTTCCAACCCGCGTACCTCCATATCTCTTTCGAAGTCATAATCGTCCAGATTCTGGAAGGCGCTGGAATAGACCTCGAGAGCCTTGGCGTGGAAAACCATCTCGATGGTGACAAAGTCCGAGAAAATCTTCTGCAAGAAAGGAAAGTGGGGGTGGGGTGTAACATGGGCCAGCCCTTTCCTGCTCCTAATTATCAAAACCCCTTGAAAGTCGAGTCATGTACTGAAAGCACCAAGTACCTGCCCTCTTCCCCAGCACTGACGGCACTTAAGGGCGCCCCCTTTGGCCAGTTAAGGAGTGGCATCATGGGGCTCTGGAGGCAGTTCCATTTGCTTTGCTTTGACCATATGGATGGTGGCTGCAGTGAGAGACTAGAAAGGAAACGGGTGGGGAAATGAGGAGGAATGAACCCCAACTCCAAAGTGGGGTCGCTGTACAGTCAAAACTGCTCCTAAAAGCCTTTATTCCCCAGATCAAACAGAGCCAGCTGAGACCCGGGGGGACATAGGGATGTTTAAGACAAGGGACCATTGTGATCATCTTCTAGTCTGACCTCCTGCAACGCAGGCCAGAGAACCTCACCCAGAGATTCCTGCGCCAAAGCCAGCACTTCTGTCTGAGCCAGAGCAAATCTTTCAGAAAGAAATGTCCGGTCTTGATTTAAAGGCTTCAAGGGATGAAGAATTGACCGCCTTCCTAGCTAATGTGTTCCAATGGTTAAAATTACCCTCAGAGTTTAGAAAAAACATGCAACTTATTTCTAGTCTGAATTTACCTAACGTCAACTTGTAGTCACAAGATCTTGCTATGCCTTTGTCTGATTGATAGAAGACGGCTCTTTGCTCTGTCTGCTCTGAACCTTCTCTCTGAGAAGCTACATAGATTTAGTCTTTCACTGTCGGGCAGGTTTCTCAGACCTTAAATTTTTCTTGTAGCTCTTTTCTGAACCCTTCACAGCACACTTTACCTGGATGTCTTTCAGTTTCTTTTTCTGGAACTCGTCGATGGTTTCCTCGAGCTGCTGGGTGGTGCGGCTGGCATCTACTGAGGCTTTGTGCACATTTGACTCAGCCTGAGAAAAATCCCAAGGGAAGCACAGCATCATAGGGTGCCTACGCTGTTCCTTCAGCTCCAGAAGGGGTTAACTGCATGGGCGTCGGGGAGCAAAGGCAGCTCGGTGGGAGCAGAGTATAGAATTACAAGACTGGGCCTTCAGAGAGGAAGCATGGTCCAGTGGTTAGGGCACAAGCCTAGGAAACCAGGGTGCACTTCCCTGCTGTGCCACAGACTTCCTGAGACCTTGGGCACGTCCTCTATCTTCTCTGTGCCTCAGTTCCCCATCTGTACAGTGGGGACAATAGCACCGCCCTACCTCCCAGGGGGTTGTGAGGATAAATACACTCAAGATTGTGAAGTGCTCAGATACTCTGGTAATGGGGAGCATTAGAGCCCTAAGGTGGGTAGACAGGCCAGAGGAACTGCAGCACCGGGACCAGCAATGAGACCCAGACATGGTTACTGTGCAAGCTCCCCCATCCGTCAAATCCATAAGCCTCCCTGTCCCAGTGTGGAGGTGGTTGGGGGAATGACCGTGCCCTGGTAAACCCTCGTTATAAAGCAGCCCTGGGATTAATGCTTGTGGAGCAATGTTTGGGCTTACAATGAGCAACCTTAGAAAGGAAGTGTTCGCCTTACTGCCGTGTAAATGCCTTGGTCCAATATTGTGTTCAAGGGCCCGATCCTGCATCCATCACAGAATCCAAACTCCCCTGGGTCTGACGCTGGCTTGCTTTGGTTGAGCACGGGGTGCAGAACAGGAAACCTTTTAGGTTCCCATTGCACGATCCGGTAAATGGTTTCTTTTGAAACTCACCCAGTGTCTGTCTCCTGGGGCTGCAGCCACACTGGGGCTGCAGCCACACTGGGGCTGACGTGATCTCTCTCTGATGTATACACCTGCTTAGATCCCTGTTCTGTTTCACCATTTGATGGTGATATATGTGGGTGCTTTTTAACAGGCCTGACATTATCCAGCAGAGGGCAGTAGGGCATGCATGCTTCATGGGGGAACAGACCCATGGCCCAACATGCCTTACTGTGGTTATAGTTTCATCAGCGTAAAGCCCTATGAAAACCTTTGCGAGATCTAGGCCAAATTCATCCCTAGGGAGCGCCACTGAAACTGGCAGAGTGACAGCAGGGGTTTACCTGGCCCTTTTCCTTGAGAACCAATTCAGCCTATATGGCATATATGTTCTGTATGTGTCCCCTCCCTGTGATTTTTATCAGCCGGGGGTTTAACGTGACCGTAGGATCTTAGTTTTCTAAGAGTTCATCTGCTCCTACTGCTTATTCCTCGTCTGCCTATGGTTTCCCCCTAATTCTCTGTATATGACTTTGCAGTCGTTTCCCTCTTCAGATGGGGAACAAACAGAAGGTGCAGATAGACACAGGGCCTGAATTTTAAAAAGCAGAGACCTGTTTTGTGTGTGCACTGACCACACCCAGGCACCCGAGTTGACACGTTTGCACATGACCAGATAGGTGCCAGGGGTGAATGTGGAGCCCAGTTTGTTCTTGCACATTCATAAGCCCACCTGCTGAGTAAGCCTTGAATTCTGCTTGTAAGGAGCTGACACCTGGCCTCATGCGTGTATCCTTAGTCAACGTAAATTAAGCTACAGAAATACAATGCAGAGAATATTTGCTCTTACAGCAGCAGGGTTGCTTCTAGTTAGTATGTTTCTTAAAGCTTCTTATGGGGTGCTATTGGGTCCTGAACCGACAATGTCTGTGGAGGGGTCAGGGCATCAGGAGTCAGGTCTTCCTTTTCTATTCCTAGGATAGGTTACATCTTCCTTCTGAATGCTGAGCTAGTTGCTAAAGCTGGAGACTGAGCGTCAGGACACCTGGGTTCTCTTCCTGGTCTGTCACTGACTTGCTGTGTGATCTTGGTCAAGTCACTTCCCCCCTTCTTTGTGCCTCAGTTTCCCTGAGTTGTTTCAGCTTGTAAAATGGGGATAATGAGACTGACTTTCTTTGGTAAAGTACTTTGAGATCTACAGTGGAAAAGCTCTATGTGAAAACTAAGTGTTATAAACTATCCAGTGGTGGTTCCTCTAGGCGAGGGAGGTGGCTGGAAAGTGCAGAATATGCAATCAGAAGGAAGTTTCTTGTGGGCATGTTGAGGGGGGTTAGATGCATCTCCATGGTGGCAGACACCCTCAGGGAGCCCTACCATGATTTTCCCTTCCAGTACAAAAGATTCTATAGCTTGCACGACATCCCTCCTGCAGCTAGAGAGAGAGGAGGAAAGGAGCGAATCCATCAGCGCTGAATGTCATTACAGGAAAATGGATGAGACTTATGCCAGGGCTATTTCAGGTACTAAACATGTGGCGTAAAATCTGGACCAGCGGAGCATGGCGCATCAGTGTGTTGATAAGAAAAGCAGCTGGGAGGTGAAATAAAGCCTGCATTAGTGGGGGGATTTCAGGTAGGGAAAAAGCTGGCTGGGTGGGTGGGTGGATTTCAACGCTTTGTGGTGCTCAGTCATTCTTTTTTTCTTGTTTGAATACAAAACTGTAGGGTAAGCATCCACCTAGCCCTGGCAGGCGATGCATCCAACTGTTAACCCTTTATGGTCATGCTGCACACACTACTGAGTACACAGGGGCAACTCAGGGCTAATGTGTCCACTGCGCATTCCTGCTGAGACCTCAGGCCCAATTCTCCTCTCCCGCTGGTTTCAATCCACTGACGTCAATGGCGCTGGTCTAAACAGGGTACGTGATAAATGAATCCCTACTAGCAGCGCCAGCTGAGATCAGGTGCCATTGTGCTAGGCTCTGCATGTGTGTGGGAAGAGGGGAGGTGGTTGCAATATTGATGGGGGGGGGGGGGGAATTTTGACTTTTCATTTAAAACAAAAAAAAACCCTGAAAATTTTCAGCCAAAACGTTTTTGATTGTTTTGACAAAGTCTAAATTTTCTGCAGAAAGCAGACACTTCACCAAAAATGTGGTGTAACTGAAAACCCAATTTTCCATCAAAAAACCTGTTTTCACAGAGAACTTTTGACCAGTAAGAGAGAGTCCTTGCTCCAGTGCGCTTACAGCTTAAACCGACAATACAACCCAGGATGGGAGAAAAAGCCGGATTCCAGTTCCTGGTGCTATTGGAAAGAATTGGGTCTTGACTGCACACCATGCTGTGTTATAAATACCACAAGGAGGGGAGGGGTTAAGAATGTTCTGTGCTGCCCTGGGTCCAGCGTGTCTCTTTAGCACTCACCTGTGCTTTATCCTGACAATCTTTTACTGTCCATTGCTTGAAATTAGATCTTGGGCACAGGACAAATATTATGCCCAGAGGAACTTGTGCTTACCTGGGACTGACGGCAATAGTCAAGGAACAATCTGATGAGACGGGAAGAGTTTATAGACACACTGATCCTTGTGCTGGTGTCTGTGTGAGCGGCTGAGCCCAGAATAACTATCTGAACTGAGCAGTTCTAGTCAGATGCTTGTGGGCAGGAAGGAATCTTGTGTTCTTACACTGACTGCCCTGATTGCATTTCTGAAAGAGGATTTTCACCCTGGGGCAAACATGACAATTACTCACCCTATAAAACGGAGGCCGAGCTTTGCCTGTACCTTTGAAATAGTGCCAATCGGACCAGCATATCAGCCCGGCCAGAAGGAACACAACAACTTATTGCCTAGGGTGCCCATACGTCCCGTTTTGGCCGGGACAGTCCCTTTTTTAAGCCCTGTCCTGGCTGTCCCAACTTTTTTGGCAGTAGTGGGCATTTGTCCTGTTTTTACTCTTGGCAATTGGATCAGTTGACAAGAGCAAACAGGACGAATGCTCACGTTTGTCAAAAAAGTGGGGTGCGGTGCGGGGGAATTTGTGGGGCCAGGGTGAGTGGAGATGCCCGCCCCTTGTGGAGGGGGGGAGGAGGCAGGGCTTACATGGGGGAGCGGGAGCAACAAGCCAAGGCTGCAGCGAACAGCAGCTGCCTCTTGCGGGGGAGAGGGGCAGGTAAGATTCCTGCAACCCCAGTCTCTTGTGGGGCGGGGCAGGGTTCCAGCGAACCCAGCCTCACACGTGGGGCAGGCAGGGTTCCAGGGACCCAAGCCTTGTGGGGGCGGGAGGACAGTCATGGTTTCAGCAACCCCAGCCTCACAGCGGGGGGGGGGGAGCCTGGGTTAGCCCCACACGGTGTCCTGTTTTCCCTTTGGGAAATATGGTCACCCTAATATTGCCACATAGGGCGTGATCTCAGTGGAGGGAGGCTACCTGTCAGTGCAAACAACTGCTTTGTAGGAGCTCTTGCCCTTAAAGCACCTACAGAGCTGGTAGAGAAACCAGTCAAAATCATGACCTTTTTTTTTTTTTAATTTTTACTGTCCTCCCCCTCCCCCCCCAAAAAAATTTAATGAGTTTTTTGGGAAACTCACAAACCTCCAGCTACCTCTGTAGCAGGTGGAAAACCCACAAACGTTCATGGAAAAATAGAGTTGAAAATCTGCCAGGTTTTGCACTGAAATTTGATCTCCCCCCTTTCTCTCCCCCCCCCCATGAAAAATGGCATTGAAATTCAAAAAGTGTCAAGCAACTCTGTGCGTGTGCAAATGAGGAGCACAAACCTGAGTGCTTTTTGCATCAGGCATCTTGGAGACAGGACCCTAGGGAAGCGTGAGCCTTTATGTTGCCCCGTGTAGGAAGCTGAGCTGGGGGGCCGTGTGGTCCCCAATCAGCATGGTACTGCTGTGAATCTACAAGAGAGAGTGACATCCAACCCTTCTGGGGAGAGCCCATGCTAGTCCCTGGATGCAGTGTTTTGTTTCCAGAGAAGCTGGGCCTACACAAAGATATCCAACTACTTCTTTCCCCCTTGAGGATCTTTGGGACTTTCAGCTGCGAATTGCCTTCTTTGGAAAAGCTGCGGAAGGGGTTACTTGTTTAAAATATTTCTGCCATGCAGAGGGAAATCTCTTGAGCTGTGGCGATGATCCCTTTGAAAAGGTGTCTCGCCCAGAAAGTCTGACATAACGTGAGAGAGACAAGGTGGGTGAGGTAATATCTTTTATTGCAACAACTTCTGTCGGGAGCAGGGACAAGTCTTCGAGCTGGCACAGAGCTGTTCTTCAGATCCGGGTTACAAACTGACCCTCCTTGCGTTTAGTTGAGACATTCTGGCTGTCTTCTCCAGACCTGGGAAAGAGCTCTGTGTAGCTCGAAAGCTTGTTCCACTTGTTCCACCAACAGAAGTTGGCCCAATAAAAAGTATTGCCTCACCTGCCTTACCTTTCTCATATCCTGGGACCAACATAGCTACAGCAAACAATATAATAAGGTGCGTTTCCCTGGTTGGGGGGGGAGGGATATTTTGGAAAGGAACATTACCCTATTTCCCATTCACACACCATTCAGTGAGGGCTGATATGGGGAAGCACTTAGAGTAGTTAGCAGCTGAGCCCTCCAAGATTTATGTGCAGAGCGTGGGCCTGGGAACAAATTTGAGATGCGTGTGACCAGATTGGTGTCAAAATGTAGCACGTGTGAAATCTCCCCTTTCACATCTGCAGCTTGATAAGGAAGTGGTTGGGGGGAGGTGGAATTGGCGGCTCATCACCTGTCCCGCAATCCCATTGCATGCGTCTCATTTCTCTGAGCTCCGGCTAGTTCCCAGGGAAGCCTGCGGTTAGTTTACAACAGTCTGGGTTTTCCCTTACTGGGGTGAGTGGTTTCCTGACGCAGGTCGGTTTCCAACAGATTCTGTGAAACGTTCGGAAGAAACCACAATGAAACATAAGCCGCTGAGCCCTGACTTCCTACCTCTGCGTTACTGATCAGCCAGTGCCGCAGGCTGCCTAACCAAGTGCTAACTCTGCGCCTCTCAGGTTTTGTAACGTGGCATAAAGGATACGAGGGTGTGTCGGTCTGAGGGTGACTTCTGCCGCAGTCTCTCCAGTTTCTCCAGTTGCTTTATCTCATTGTTTCGGACTTTGTTGAACCTCTTGATCTCTGCCTAGGAGATGAGATACGTGCGTTTGTTACAAGGCTGGCATGGCCGGCTGGCTACGGGATGTGGCAGGGTTACCACGATACGGCACTTACCTGTGTCTGCTTGAGCTGGACTCCGTACCGTTTCAGTGGCTCCACAACCTTCGTTTCCAGTCTCTCCACCTAAAGGGGAAAGTCACACATGCAGTACGGCGGGGATATAATGTACTCGGTACAAACAGGGCTGGCTGATAGCCTCTAGTCACCAAGCAATGGCACTGCAATTGCCCTCTGCTCTGTCATCATCTCAAGGGATCCAGATCATTCAGTCCTTGCTCTGTCGACACCGCCAATTACAGCAGGGACCTCAAAACAGGAACCGGGCTGGCAGCCATGGACATGTTCCGTGCAGACCCCTGAACATCCATCAGATGGCAACACTAAAATGCTGCTGACCGGAGCTGGATTCGAACCAGACACCTGAGAGGTGAAAGGCCCTCTAACCCACTGCCACTTCCCTAATGCAAAAGGCACAGCGAGATATGGAAGAGGGTGAATCCTCCCCAAATAGTAACCAAAGAATATCCCATAATCTCCTCAGAAGCAGAAATTGGGGGATGACGCAGAGCTTGTCAGCTTGGATAAGGGATAGATTCACCCCTAAAGTTCTTCCTTCTTAGCTTGGTTCCTCCCTTCCAGGCTGGAAAGGACCAGGAAGACTGCACAGATCAACACCCTCAGCCACTGAACAGGGAAAGCATCAATGAGCCCGGCCATCCTAGGACAGGACACTAGTTGTTAGTGTAACACTGACAGACCCCGGTTGTCGGCGGGCAGGATCGAATCTGGGACCTCTGGAGCTTAGTGCGTGAGCCTCTACTGCAGGGGTGGCCAACCTGTGGCTCCGGAGCCACATGCGGCTCTTCAGAAGTTAATATGCGGCTCCTTGTATAGGCACCGACTCCCGGGCTGGAGCTACAGGCACCAACTTTCCAATGTGCTGGGGGGGTGCTCACCGCTGAACCCCTGGCTCTGCCCCCCTCCACCCCTTCCCACCCCCTGCCCTGAGCCTGCTATGCCCTCGCTCCTCCCCCCCAGTGTCTCCTGCACCCCATGAAACAGCTGATTGGGAGGAGGAGGCGCTGATCGGTGGGGCTGCCGGTGAGTGGGAGGCGCTGGGAGCGGGGGGGAGGAGGCGAGCTGATCCGGAGGCGGTTGACGTATTACGGTGGCTCTTTGGCAATGTACACTGGTAAATTCTGGCTCCTTCTCAGGCTCAGGTTGGCCACCCCTGCTCTACTGCATGAGCTAAAAGCCACGTGTTCTAAGGCTGTAGAGCAGACTCCTTAATCTCTACGTGGTCTCAGTGCCACTAGATGGGACAGACCACCACACCCAGACGGTGTGTGGGTTACACTAGCACAGTATATCGACAGACAATGAACTATTTACTGTTTCCTGTATTGCTGACATACAGGTCCATTGCTCCCTCAACGTGAAGTCCCATGACTATGGTCAGATTGTGCCTCCCTAGCTGTGATCACACTCCTGGCATAGTCAGTGTTGCGGGGGCTAGGCAGCTCCTTACCTCTGCCTGCCTGTAGTCCTGCACTTTGGCCAGCTCCTCAGCAAAGTTCTTCATGGTGCTTCGCAGCTCAGGGTTCTCAGTGTTGGCATAGTCGATGAGCTGCTTCACCAGGAGATCTGACTTGTCCCGCAGCTTGGCTGTCTTCCTGGCGTAGGAGGCCATCAGCGTGCAGAACTGGCCGAAATATTTCTCTGCGTTGGCTACTGTGTTCTCCATGATCCTCACTTGGCTATCTCTGGGTAGGGAAGAGACGAGCCGCATGTTGGGTTAGTTCACCATCAATGCTGGTATGACCCGACTTTAGAAACTTGAGCCCAGAGTTTTGCAGGATTTCTCTTGTGTGTGCATCAGAACCCCACCTTTGTATGTATGGAATGGGGCATTTGCATGCACAGATTGGAGAACTGTGCACCTGACTGCTCAGTGTACACACACACACACACACACACACACACGCTTGGGTCTCAGGTGTCTATTGTTGGTCAACCACAAAAAGAACAACCCAAGTCAGAAATCCAATAAATCAGGCTGAAGGGTTTGTTACCCAAGAGCCTACGGTGACAACTGTAAACTTGAAATGTTGGGCCATTTGTGGAGACTGCCTTCGACACAGCTGGAGCAGTTTCCCAGTAGGAGGTCACATCCGGGCCCTGTGTCAGATGCTGCTGTTCAGAATGTCTTGAGCTTGCAACTAGACCCAAAAGCTGTCCCAAACATTTTACAAGCATCAGTTGCGAGAGTTGGTTGTAATGTGTAGGAGCAAGATTTGGGTTTTTTGTCCAGCCGTACTGTTTGACTGTTTCAGTCCATAATGGTTCCCAATGAGTCAGTTCATCCCGTCTCCTTATCTCCATCCCACAGTGCCTTCTCTTGCTTTGAAAATGACCTCCCCATGACAGTGCTGGGCCTTATGGGATAGGTGATTGAGGTGTTCCAGCACAGGGGCAAGCATGGCTTTAAGGAATTCCATAATGGACTATGTCACAGTTCCAGGGCTAGCTGTGCCCGTCTCCTCTCTGGTCTCGGTCTATGCTGCAATAAAAGACCCGTGGCATGGTAGTGGCTGGCCCGGGTCAGTTGACTCAGCCTTGTGGGGCTCCGGCTGTGGGGCTATAAAACTGCTATGTAGACACTGGAGCCCACAGTCTGAGTGCCTATGAAGGGAGAGGGTCTCAGAGCCCAGGCTCCATAGATTCATAGATTCTAGGACTGGAAGGGACCTCGAGAGGTCATCGAGTCCAGTCCCCTGCCCTCATGGCAGGACCAAATACTGTCTAGACCATCCCTGATAGACATTTATCTAACCTACTCTTAAATATCTCCAGAGATGGAGATTCCACAACCTCCCTAGGCAATTTATTCCAGTGTTTAACCACCCTGACAGTTAGGAACTTTTTCCTAATGTCCAACCTAGACCTCCCTTGCTGCAGTTTAAGCCCATTGCTTCTTGTTCTATCCTTAGAGGCTAAGGTGAACAAGTTTTCTCCCTCCTCCTTATGACACCCTTTTAGATACCTGAAAACTGCTATCATGTCCCCTCTCAGTCTTCTCTTTTCCAAACTAAACAAACCCAATTCTTTCAGCCTTCCTTCATAGGTCATGTTCTCAAGACCTTTAATCATTCTTGTTGCTCTTCTCTGGACCCTTTCCAATTTCTCCACATCTTTCTTGAAATGCAGTGCCCAGAACTGGACACAATACTCCAGCTGAGGCCTAACCAGAGCAGAGTAGAGCGGAAGAATGACTTTTCATGTCTTGCTCACAACACACCTGTTAATACATCCCAGAATCATGTTTGCTTTTTTTTGCAACAGCATCACACTGTTGACTCATATTTAGCTTGTGGTCCACTTTAACCCCTAGATCCCTTTCTGCCGTACTCCATCTACGCTGCTGTTTTTAGTCCCGCAGCCCAGGCCCTGCAAGCCTGAATCCGCTGGGCTGGGCTCTGAGACGTGGCGCCATAGGTTTATCGCTGTGTAGACGTATCATCTGAGCGCTCCCCCCCCCCCCCAGGTGTCAGGCCTCATGCCTTTCTCTCTCCTGGGGTGGAATCGCGTGATTGTCCCGCTTGGAGGCCAAGACCCGGGCTACAGCACTCTGTGGATCACTCGTGCTTTCTCAGCAGGTCCAGCTGCAGTTCTTCCCTTCGGGAGTCTACGAGCAGAGGTCCATAGTGACCAAAGTCTGAAGGGTTAATCTTAAGAGCAGGAATAAAGCAAAGCATAAGAGAAAAGGGGTCCAAATAAGCCCAGCCTATGAGAGGAGCCCAGGGTGGCCTAGCACTTCAGGCAACCTGGTGTGTGTCTGTGGGTGTTCCCTGAACAGCCCCCTGACAAGTGCCCCCTCCCTCAGGAGACTGACTTGTATCCCTGGGCTTTTTGGTTCTCTTTGGTGGACAGAAGTAGGACAACGGAGCCAATGGCCCTTGCATTCTCTCCGACGTGTCAGCCGCTGGGTGGCTATCTGAAGCCACTGTATCTTTCCTGCCTATGTGCAGTCAGCCTCTTAAATGCACCCCAGGTTTTCATCCAGCAGCACACCCTAATCACAGTCAAACAAATATATAGGAGTCCTAAATTATTACAGAGCAGCCCATTGTCCATCACAGCACTGTCGAAAGTAATGTGGATCGGCTAAACCCAGGCCCCATGCTAGGAGTTTTGCCGGCAAGGGTGGGAAATGTTTTCAGTGCCCCATTTTCCCCTTCCGCCGTGAGTGGCCAAGGGGAAAAAAAATCACTCCCCCCCCCCAAAAAGACAAGCAACCTGCCCACCCTGGTGGCCAATCAGCTGAGGTGGGAAAAAAGGTCTGAGAGGCACAGCATTATGGCAAACCCCGTGGAAGTTGGCACCCGAGGCAACCGCCCCATTTGCCTGCCCTTAAAAGCAGCCCTGACTAAACTATTGCAAGGTTTGGGGAGCGCCATTTCATGGCACAGTTTCCTCACTTGGGGGATACACTTTCACCCAGGTCTCCCTGTTTGCTGTACAGTTTGTACCCGCCTAAAAACATGGAGGTGCCAATTTTGCAGATTTTGCACCTGCAAATATATTCTGGGTGCACGTCTTAGCACTGGGATGACATGCTAGCAGGATAGGTAGCCTCTCTAGTGCTGCAACTTGCACCTGCAGTTTATTTGAGATACAAAAGTGCACCCATGAAAAGGAGGCTGGGTGGCTGAAGAATTGCCTCTTGGTGTAGCCTGGCTTTCAGGGGTCTGATATTTGGCATTGTGTGGCTGCCCTTTGAAGCAGCTGAGCCCCACACTGGGCGGCTGGATGGACTCATCTGGCATGTATGTGATCTGCATAGTACAACCGTTGAGACTCGAACCTAGACCCTCACGATCAAGAGACAGCAACTGTTCCAGGCTAGCTAAAAACAAGCCTCCCCTTCAGCCATTGGGAGCCGTGCTAAACTCCGCTCCGCTCACAGTCGTTCTTGACACATCTCCCAACTGCATTGCCCTGTACGGTACTGGTGAGCTTAAGCCGATTATTGAATGCTCCTTTCATAAACTTCAAATCCGCGCCACTTCATCCCATCTAGAAACCCAAATCCCCAAGCTATCAGTGTAAGACCTTCCTAAATTCTTTTAAGAGCGGTATTAATGGAAAGATACAGCTGCAGTCTGCCTATGTGTCTAGTTCTCCCAGCAGCTCTGCCAAGAGTGCTGCAGCTGTGCATCATCTAATAAAGCCTGTTGGTCTCCATCATGCGAGCTTGACTCATTGCCACAAAAGACCAGGGGGCCTTACATTTCTCAAGGCTCAGAGCTGTAGTTAAGTGCCTTCCCCCGACCTCATGTTGAAAATAAATCATTTGCAAACAGTGCTGGCTCTCGAGAGCGTTTGCTGCTTTAGGCAGCGGTGGGACTCTGCCCACCCCTCCCAGGCTTGCTGCAATGAATAAAGTCACTAAACATAGTGCTGCCCCATGGCCTTTCTGTCTCTTCTGTGTGGTGTAGCCAGTCACGTTTGCAGCGTGATTTTACTGCACTCAGTTGTGGGCTCCTCCTTACAGGACCAGAGCAACAAACTGGAGGGAGTTCAAAGACACGGCCAGTGAAATGAGCAGGGGCGGGCAAACTTTTTGGCCTGAGGGCCGCATTGGGTTTTGGAAATTGTATGGAGGGCCAGTTAGGGGAGGGGGTCGTGGCCTGGCCCCCACCCCCTATTTGCCCCCCCTCATTCCCTGACGGCCCCCCCGGGACCCCTGCCCCATCCGCACACACTCCGCTCCCTGTCCCCTGACTGCCCCTGGAACCCCTGCCCCCCGCCGCCCCATCCAACCCCCCTCTCATTCCTGATGGCCCCCCGGGACCCCTGCCCCATCCAACCACCCCTTCTCCCTGTCCCCTGACCACCCCCTGAACCCCTGCCCCTGACTGCCCCCCGCCGCCCCATCCAACCCCTCCTCTCATTCCTGACTGCCCCCCGGGAACCCTGCCCCATCCAACCCCCCGTTCCCCGCCCTCTGACCGCCCCAACCCCTATCCACCCCCCGCCCTCTGACCACCGCCCCGAACTCCCCTGTCCTCTATCCAACCTCCCCGATCCCTACCCCCTTACCGCGCTGCCTGGAGCACCGGTGGCTGGTGGCGCTACAGCTGCACCGCCCGGCTGGAGCCAGCCATGCCATCGCCACCGCGCAGCACAGAGACCGGGTCAGGCTGGGCTCTGCAGCTGCGCTGCCCCAGGAGCTCGCAGCCCTGCCGCCCAGAGCATTACACCAGCGGTGCAGTGAGCTGAGGCTGCAGAGGAGAGGCTGGGGGCGAGCCTCCCGGGCCAAGAGCTCAGGTGCCAGGCAGGAGGGTCCCGCGGGCCGTAGTTTGCCCACCTCTGGTCTAGAGGGACTGACTTAAGAGGAAAGATGGAAAGAGCTTAAAGGTGCATAGTTTGGCTGAGAAGGAGAGATGTAACAGCCTACAAAAGGAGCAGAATTATTTAGTGTAAATACATCAAGGCCTCAAAATCCAAAGGGACGGGGGTCCCTATTAAAACCTAAAGATGATGGAATCAAGTTGGAGAAATGTAGGCTGAATATCTGGAAATATTTCCTGACAGTTGGATGTTCTACCAAGCTGCGGTGGTCCACCAGGGAACTGGTGGGAAGTCCAAATAGGACTGGATGAAATACTAGATATGTTGTGGGGAACACCCTGAATTGGTAGGAGGGACCTAGCCCTCCTCAACCCTTTTCTCTCTAACTTCTGCCTTGCTCTCCTTCCCCGATAACACGTTGCTCATCCATGCTTCCCAGGTGGGCTATGCCGTAAGACGTACACCCAAGGTTCTCCAGTGTTTGCATTCCACAAACCACAGTGTGTGTGAGAGAGAGAGACTCAGGGATCCATCCACTCTGTCCCTGTCTGCTACTCCCCACTAGAGCAGGCTGAAAAATGCCAATGAATTTTGTGGAGAATTGGAAACATTTTCTTGGCCCCCCCCCCCTAAATTTCCCCTTAAAGAGTTTCAGGTTTTTCAATAAAACTGAAAACCAAAAATTATTCAGTTTTTGCAAGCCAATTTGTGTGTGTGTGTGTGTGTGTGTGTGTGTGGTGAGGGGAGGGGAGGGGAGGGGGGTTAAATGGCTTTTAGTCAAATGTTTCATTTTTCCAAAAACCTGAAAAGTTTTCAGTTCCGATTGTTTGTCCAGAATTGGAATATTTTGATCAACATGACAAGTCTCGTGGAAAAATTTTGTTTCCATTTCTCATCCAAAACATATTGTGACAACCAAGATGTGGATGAGCGCTAGTTTGCGCATTTTAATTCTGCAGAGGGCTGCTTGGGTGGCTAGCGATGGGCCATGGCCTGGGAGCTGCTGCCTGACGTGACTCAAGCCTTGGAAACACACTCCTTTGCGTTCACGTGTGCTAGGAAAAAGGAACAGGTCCCTAATAGTGAAACCTTAACTGGGTGTGGCCTTCAGCAGAAGTCATCCAAGCTACTGAGAGCTGTATGGTTTTGGGGATGCTGTGATAGGGCACTTTGCAGCCTGGCCTGAGCTCTCCCTGGACCACATGGGGCACATGGCTCTGCCAGGTCTGGTAGCAGGGTGGTGGTGGGGAAGGGAGAAGGAGGCTTTCTGCCAGATCCTCTCACCTTGGCAGTAGTGCTGGAGGGGGAAGTAAGTTACAGCCAGACTCCTGCCTCCAGCAGCCTGGGAATCTCTAGGGACCCAGTGTTTTCTGTTCTCTTGCTTGAGGCCCGGCATATAGGCTGGATCTTGGCTTTAGTCCTGCTGTCAAACATCTGGCTCCAATACACTTCAGTGTATGTTTGTTATCATAGTCTAACAGCTCCAGCAGATGCAAAGTTTCCAGAAGTTGCTGCTGCTTTACACAGTTCTTAAACATTGGATACATATAGAGGATGTTTGTCTTGCTCCACTTCTCCTTAGGGTTGCTATCTGCAGCTGTAGGTGAGAGCCCTTCGCCAAAGCTGCGTCTTCATTGCCCCTCGGAGCTTGATGCAAATGCTTAGGGCCGTGTTTTCAGACATCCGGCTTCCCTCGTTAGGACGCCGTCACTTGTGCATGGAGAGCCAAACGATGCTAATTGAAGGAGCGTAGGTCTCGTTTACCGTTTGTAAGTGTGAGTGACCGTGAAAATTGCGGGTTGCAGGGGTGAGCATACAAAGTGGTGAGTTGTGCAGAGACAGCTGTGGCCCTTGGCCCGTAGGTCAGCTCAGGGACACCAGAACACAAGCAAAATTTCCAGTTACAAGTCTACAGAGCAATGAAGCTGTGGTCAGCGCAGGCGCCATCGTGGGCTGGCTGCACAAGTAGTTACCCTTGGTTCCAGGTGGGTTTGTACGGTCTGGGCTGAAGCAGCTTCACAGGTACCGGAGCTAGCTAGATTTGCAGGCTACATGAGCTACAGTCACACCCACTGATTGCAATGCAGGCTTTCCCTGTGAGACTGCCTCGGGCTGCAGTGACATTAATGACCACCTCCCACTATGTGCCTTTAAATCTCCAGGCTCCTCCTTCCCATTGTTGGGGGGTACAGCAAAATCTTGGAGGGGACCTTGATGCATTTCAGAAATGTGGCTGAACTGAGCCCACCCTGCGAAGCTAGGTCAGTATCATTGCACCTATTTCACAGAGGGGAAAGCGGAGGTCAAGTTAAGCGGCTTACATCAGGTGGGACGAGAACCCAGATCTTTTCGCTCCCAGCCTGCTGCTCTGTCCACCCAGACAAGCTGTCCTCACTCACTGTAATGCCCCTGTATGTCTCAGGGGAGCTTCCCGCCACTCGCTGCAAGCTTCTTCCCCGGCAGGCTCCATGGGAGGGGGACAAAGGGAAAGGACACCCCCAAGCAGCCTTACCTGGAAAGGACGATGTTCATGGCTGCAGGAATGGGCCAGCCTTTCTATCACCGAGCAGTAACACTACTTCTGGCTGCAGAGGGACCCACCAAAAGCACAGCTGCTCCTGACCCGACTCAGGTGGCGCGCCCAGCCTGGTTGGTATGGCAACGCTACCAACAGAGAGCCCGGGATGTGGGTGGAGCCATGGTTCTGGTTTCCAGGGGTAACTGGGCCTGTTCTATATCCCTGCCCAGCCTACGGCTGCTTCCTCTTCAAATCTGTCCATATTAATGGGTGGATCTCCCCTGCCTGCTTCTGAGAACCAGCTTTGCCCCTCCCCTAGCACCCAGGCACTGTCCTTCCTGGGCTGGCTAGGTGTCAACCAGCAGAAGGTGGCCCTGGGAAGCAGGACAGTAGGGGGCAGGCCTGGCAGTTCGGGTCTGCCTGGCTTTTTGAGTCTGCGCAGGAGGGGTGATTTCGACGTCACCAATTCTCTATAGCCCCCATCGGTGCCAGGCTCGGCACTTGTTGTGTGACTGCCCCCTTCCCCCATCTCAGCTGTGTTCTGGGGGAGCCCCCCAGAGCGTCTGTTTTTTCCCGTTCTCTGCATCAGGGTGAGCCTTCTCTTGATGCATGCTGCTCCCGCGGGAGCCCCCGAACGCCTTCGGGGCAGGATGTGACGTAAAGGTCTCCCTCCGTGACCTCATATTTTGGAGGTGCCCCCACTGCAGCTCTCCCAACCCCAGCTGGTCTGGGGAAGCGAGGGGATGAACTTGATCCTTTATCAGGAATAATTAATTGTATTACCCACAATGCCCACAGTGTCTTTCTCTGTTTAGCACAGTCCCTGCCACTAGGGAAATGCAGTCTCAGAGCTGAACTCCTCCACAACTACACAGCTGGCCTGAGGGGTGGATTAAAACTGTCCTGGCCCTGAGCCACCCAAACACTGCCCTATACCCCGCTAGGGGCTGGAGGGGAGGGATTTCCCCTTTGCTCCCCTCAGACAGCACAGGCGTGGCCAAGGCAGGGGTGACACGCAGCTACGTCTTGCAGTCTGCCTCGTGGGGCACCTCGCAAGCTTCTGCCACCTTGAGACACATTTAAACCCATCCGGGACACAGTGGCAAAATATCAGCCCCTGACCATTGTACAGTTGACCCAGAAGCAAAAGTAGGTACCGGAGTCAAGATCCAGGGTTTTGAATATGAAACGCCATCGTCCCACCCCCTCCCCTGAAACCGGGGTGGGGGAGGGGTGTTTGGCATACAGGGTTCCGGTTCAGCCATAGGCGCCGACTCCCTGGGTGCTCTGGGGCTGGAGCACCCATGGGGAAAAATTAGTGGGTGCTCTGCGCCCACCAACAGCCAAGCTCCCCCCCCCACCCCCACCTCCACTTCCTCTCCTGAGCGCGCTGCGTCCCCGCTCCTCCCCCTACCTCCCAGCGCTTCCTGCCTTGCCGATGCCAAACAGCTTTTCGGCAGTGTGCTTGGAGGGAGGGGGAGGAGCGGGATCTTGGCGCACTCAGGGAAGGAGGCAGGGAAGAGGCAGGGCCGGGGCGGGGATTTGGGGAAGGAGTCGGAATAGGGGCAGGGAGGGGGCGGAGTTGGGGCGGGGACTTTGGGGAAAGGGTTGGAATGGGGGCGGGGCCGGGGGCAGAGAGGGGTCGAGCACCCACCAGCAGGAGCAGAAGTCGGCGCCTATGGTTCAGCCCCGTGTCTAGTCCTGGCCTCCTCATGTGTTGCATAGACATTAAGACCAGAAGGGACAACAGGGATCATCTTGTCTGACCTCCTGCCTAGCACCAGCCAGAGACCCTCCCCCCATGATTCCTGCACCTCTGGCTGAGACAGAATGGATCACTTAGAGAGACGTCTGGGCACCAAGTGACAGAGAATCCGCCATGTCCCTAGATCAGTGGCTGCAATGGTTAATCACCTCCCTGGGAAAAAAACTTGCCCCTTATTTCCAATCGGAATTTGTCTAGCTTCGACACCCAGCCGTTGGATCTCAGTTGGCTTTTGTCGGCTGGCTTGCACATCCCGCTCCTTTCACAAATCCTCTGCCAGGGTAGGTACCTGTTCTAGGCAATGGGCGGTCTGCCAGTATAGGCACATGACCGCCAGCCGGATCTTCTCACATGCCTCCTCGCAGTGCCTGGGGATGTGCAAGCTGCTGCTAAGAGGATAAAGGCTCTTATCTTTCCATGACTCTGTACAAAGTTTAAAGGTCAGCATGAAACCTTTTTGTGTATGTGTTACAGCTGGGCCTGGACTGCCTGCTTCACATGCTCTGGGTCTAGCTCACTGGCTGGCTGCGGATTAAGTCTAATCTAAATTCAATATCTTCTGCAGAGAGAGAGATTAAAGAACGGACTCTTCCCCGCTCCCACCACCACTACATGGAGTGGCTCCATTAGCTAAAACCCTCTGTAAAGCTGTAGGTGAGCTGTAGCTTCTTGCTGTCTCTGCTCATCCCCCTCTTGGGAATGGAGTCTGATTGAGTTGCCAGAGGCTCAGGAAAGAAAGATGCTTTTGTGGCTAAAGCACAGGGTGAATTCTCTGCCCTGTGTTCTGTAGAAGGCCAGACTAGATCGTCATGATGGTTCCTTCTGGCCTTAACACCTGTGCCTGGGAGTCAGTGGAATTAGGTTCCACTCCAGCCTCCTCTGTGACTTTGGGCAAGTCCTTTAAATTGTTCTCTGCCTCGGTTTCCCTTTCGGTAAAATGGGGATAACGCTTCCCTCTCTCACAGGTGTTGTGAGGCTTACTTAACCATTTGCAAAGGAAGGCCTTTGGATAGGAGGCACTCGAGAAGGGCAAACTATTGGTATTACCAGTAAAGCGCAAAGGCCCTGGCTAGGGAAGGAAGCCAAGCCCAGCTCGGTCTTTTACCAAACTCCTGTGATAGTTATAGGGGCAAATTCTGGTTGGCACTTGGCACTGGATCCCTCCAAGCAGATACGCAAACAGCAGTGCTGACTGCTCGTGCTCCATGGCTCGGAGAGGGAGGCGACTTGTGCTAGCCCCCGAGGGAACTAGGGGATTTCCCCTTCTCCCATGGCCCTGGCGGGGGCACATCACAAGCACCCCTCCTCCTTTCTGTCTCACCGGAGACCTCCAGTCAGTGCTCCCTGCACAAACCCCTTCCTCAGTCCTGGGCACGTCACCTACCTTCCCCCAGCCCAACCCAGCCTGTCCCCACCCTAGCAACTGACGGAGCCCAGTGCTTGGAACCGGGGAGGGGGGCATGACAGGAGGGATTCAAGCGACTGCTCTGGGGGAGTCCCCCAGCATCCCTTGAACTGTCTCTGGTGCTCAAAGAGCTGCAGATTGTTTTAATGAGCTCCTTAACTGGAGTGCACCGTGGCGCTCTCCAGGCAGAGCAACATCAAAGGGCAGGTTACGTCTCGGGGGTGATAAGGGCTGTGTCTTCTGCTAAGTAGCAGTCTCGGCAAAGGGGCTCGAGCATGAGGCTGGCAAGACAGGTGTGAGGTCCTGTGGCCCCTTGGGGTCAGAGGACTCCATGCTGTCTTTCGCGCAGAGAGGAAGGGAAGAGGCTATGTGAGAGGCACTGAACTGTGACTCAGGAGACCTTTAGTCAACCCCCAGCTCTGCCACAGACTCTCTGGGTGACCTTGGGCACGACTGCTCAGTGCCACAGCCCCCCCATCAAATGGAGATGACGGTCCTCTCTGGCTGTCTTGGCTACTAGACGGCAGGAACCGTCTCTCACTGTGTATCTGTGCAGTGCCCTGTGTGATGGGGCCATGATGTTGGTTGGGCACTAAGAGATTATGTCCCTGGTGAAGGATCGTGCCCCTCTGGGGATTATTTCTCCCTATCAGTACTGATGTTTATTTGAGGGAGGGGATAGTTTTAAGGGAGACAATCCATCTATGGTTGCAGCAGGTGTAAGCAATGTGCAGCCATGGAGAGACTTTTTTTTTTTTTAGCTCTGTAGTTGCGTTCTTGTTGGAACAGTTTGCAAAGCCAGATGAGTCCCTGGCAAAGGCACATACGCCGCTTCGCCGGCAGCTGGCAGGGGTCGGAGCTACCTGAACATGCAGGGCCTGTCCCCCAGCACGGCCCCCCTCCTCCGGGCTTTGGGTCCTTGCCAGCTGAATGCAGCTGTCCCTGACTGGCACTCAGATACGCCTGAGTGCACAGAGGGTGGTGTACAGCAAAGGGCTTATAAGTGGGGGGCAGCAAGGGCAGGCAATGCACGTGGCTGGCTCTACACCAGTGGGTCAGGCCGTCTTTTAAGGTTATAACCCCACAGTGCTTTGACTCCAACTACGGGTTTCTATTTAGCAGGCACTGGACTTTGCCTTCCGATTCTTGGCTTCCAAGTACCCAGCATTGATTTGTTTATGTAGTACTGGAAGTATTGGGCCCCCTGGAAAGATCAAAGGTTCGAGAAGGTTTCCTACTGGGATGGAGATCTACTGCACAGCTGGCTGGGTGGATTCCTGAGTCTGGGGGATCTACCACACAGCTGGGATCCGTTGCTCGGCCAAGCTGGACTATTTCTCCATACATCCAGCTGCATTGGCTTTGAAACGGGCAAGAAGAAAGCTGGGCAGGGAGATGGTGTGTCCAGGGGATCATGAAAGAGCTTAGCTGACAAGCCTGGTTTTATAACACACACTGCAGTTGCCTGAGGTTAGTCTAGCCTGGCTGCGCACAGGCGTATTCAGTGGGGGGCTCCCTGATGCTTTTCCTTTGGTGGGGGCAGGGAGCAAATCTAACCAAAGTGCAGAGCTGCCCCCTGGTGAGGAGACAGCTGTTCAGACATGGCTCAGTGCAGGGCTCTCCGCCACCCGGGCTGCTGCAGCCAGAGGCAGTTGCTTAAACAGATGCAGCGGGTTTTAAAGGCCGTAACGCTGCTGCGTGGGGGCCGAGCTCTGTTTGACAACCTGCTCATCTCCATGGTGTATGGGAGACGAGCGCTAGTTCTTCCCTCTGCCCCTCCAGTCTTATGGCTGATGCCTTTCACCAGGCAGGTCCCCAGTGCAGCCAGGGGTGTGGCATCTGAT